TAGTAGTAGCAGTCGTGGTAGTATTAGTCGTAGTAGTAGTAGTAGTATTAGTAGTAGTGGCACTAGTAGTAGTAGTAGTAGCCGTATTATTAGTAGTAGTATTAGTAGTAGTAGTATTAGTAGTAATGATAATAGTAGTAATAGTAGTAGTAGTAGTATTAGCAGTAGTGATATTAGTAGTGTTAGTAGTAGTTGTGGTAGTATTGGTAGTAGCAGTAGTGGTAGTTTTGTTAGTAATAGTAGTAGTAGTAGCAGTACTAGTAGTAGTGTGGTGTGTGCTACTTATACGAACGATATAAGTAGTATAAGAATGGACGTGAAAGGAGATGTCTTACGGTCAGAAGAGGAAATCGGAAAGCAAATAGAGCAAAAGCAAGAAAGATTTAGAGCACCGACAGGAAGTAAAGGAAGCAACAGCAGGAATGGAGGAAGGCTGGAGCGTTGGAAGTCAGGACTCAAAGATGATGTGCAAATGGAGTGTTCAATGTAATGTTATCGTTTTTAATTGACTAAGAGTGTAAATTTTCCAAATACAATCTATCGAGCCTGCCTCAGTCTTCTCAATTGGTGTCGCTGCCTCCACACATGATGAAGATTCCATGGCCTTGGGAGTTTGAAGACGGAGATGTAAGGAGCTTCTTGAAGGTGTTCGAGGCTGTGGCGGAGCTGGTCGGAGTCAAGGAACGGAAGGCGAAGGCGGTGGTGCTGGGGACTCTACTAAGAGGCAGGGCGAGAGCGGTGTACGATAGTGTGGAGGACGCTGACTGGAAGGCGGTGACGGAAAGGCTGCCGTTGGAGTTCGACAGCCCGGCGGATAGGCAGGACGCGCTGCAGAAGTTCCGAGAGGCGCGGCTGTCGGTGGACGGCGACCCACTCGTGCTGGCCGTGGAGTTGAAAAGATTGCTGCGCCGGGGTCTGCCGAATTTGGATGAGGAGTCGCAGGCACAGCTGCTAGCCTCGCAATTCATTGAAAGTGTGCCTGCAGAGATTGGCCAACAGTTGAGACTGGTGAACGCGGCACAACCAATGGACGTCACCGAGCTGGCGAAAGTAACAAGACAACTGATGAACTCAACAGTCGCCTCGGTGGCGTGTGAGAGACAGGCTGATGATGTCGTGAAGAAGATAGAAGAATTACAACGAGAGGTGGCAGCGTTACGAATAAAGGGTGAAAGAAATAATAAATGCTACATTTGCGGAGGAACCGGACATTGGAAGAGGAATTGCCCAACAAGACGAAGACGTAAATATTTTAGACCATACACAAGTTGTTCTTTATGTCTTTCGAAACTGGGGGTTTCGGCATTAGTAGATAAGGGGGCGGTCTATGCGAGAGTAGGGATAAACGAGCGAGAGGTAGTTTGCCTGATTGATACAGGGGCGGCAGTTTCGTTAATAGACAAAGAGCGGTGTAGAGGTATCAGGCCGAGTGCATTAGTTGTTAACACCATCGGCGGCCACGTGTTAAAAATCCTCGGAGTCTCAAATGATATCGTGAAAATCGGCAGTTCGAAAATACAGTTTCCCTTTGTAGTGACTACGAACTTGTCGAGACCAATACTAGGAGCAGATTTCTTGAGAGAAGTAGGAGCAATTATTGATACAAGAAGTAAGAAGGTGATTACAAAGTACGGCACACTGACAATACATGAAAGCAGCGAGGTGGCTGAGGTTAGAGTAGCAAAAGAGGACATTGGAAAGAAACAGAACATTAACCAGGTGCTCACAAAATATAAGAAGTTGTTCACGGGAGACGGAGAACCGTACGGGTTTTGTAATAAAGTCAAACATGAAATTCCGATAAAGAACGAAGAAGTAACCATCTTCACAACACGACGGGTCCCCGTACATTTGGAAGCTGAGATAAACCAGCAGGTACAGGAGATGTTAAAAGCAGGTATAATTGAAGAAGCAGATAGCCCGTACAGCTCACCGGTACTTTTGGTAAAGAAGCCAAATGGAAAGTATAGATTCTGTGTTGACTTTAGAGAACTGAATAACGTGACAGAAATAAAACCATGTGCAATGCCAACAATAGCGGAGACATTAGATCGTCTACAGAGTGCTACGGTGTTCACAGTGTTAGATTTACGGTCGGGCTATTGGCAGCTACCAATAAAAGACAGTGATCGCAGCAAAACGGCATTTATCGTACGGGAGAAGCAGTATCAATTTAAACGAATGCCCTTTGGATTGGCGGGCGCACCCTTTACGTTTCGAAGACTAATGACATTGCTGCTCAGAAACCTGGAGAATGTCGAGGTTTATGGCGATGATTTGGTCGTATATAGTCGTACAGAGGCAGAACATGTGAGGCACGTGGAGGCGGTCCTAAGGCGAATTGATGAGTTTGGTTTACGAATTAACAAAGACAAGTCTCAGATAGCGAAAAGAAGCGTCACGTTGCTGGGGCATAAAGTAGGCAATGGAGAAATAAAACCACTGCCGGAGAAGATTCTAACGATAAAGAATATTGCAGTTCCCAACTCAAAAAGGAAGTTAAGACAGTTCCTGGGAAGAGCGGCGTTCGACAGCAGATTCGTGAAGAACTTCAACGATATAGCAGCACCTCTATATAAAGTGCTAAGCAATGCGAAGTTTACGTGGACAGAGACCGCTCAACAAACTTTCGACCGAATCAAAGAGCTGTTAGATGACCGCCAAATGACGCTGAGACTGCCGGAACCCGAGAAGCCATTTACAGTGACCACTGATGCGAGCGATCACGGTATAGGTGCGGTCTTGAGGCAGTCTGACAGAGTGGTGGAGTATGCCAGCCGTGTCCTTACGCCGACAGAACAGAAGTATTCCACAGTAGAAAAAGAGTGTTTAGCGATTGTATGGGCGGTAGACAAATGGAGACCGTATCTACTGGGTCGGCGATTTCACATCGAGACGGATCATAAGCCCCTACAATGGTTAAAAACAGCAAAAGACCCTCGGGGGAAGTTGGCTCGATGGATGCTACGTCTGCAGGAGTATGATTTTAGTATCGGGCATGTGCCAGGGGAGGAAAATGTAATGGCAGATTATTTGTCAAGACCGGACACCGAAGCCGAACTTCCAGAGATAGCGTGTGCAGTTAACGGCCTAGAGGGAGATCCCCTAGAACTCGTCCGGCATCAGAAAGCCGACCCTAACCTTCGGGAGGTAATCAGAGTGATAAAAGAGGGAGAAGATGTTGACAAGAGTGGAACAGATAAAGAATTAACAGTGTTGCTGAGGCAGAAGGAGAGACTGAGAGTGAACGGATACGGAGCCTTGACCTGGCGGGATGATGACGAGAATTGGGTAGCAATAATCCCAAAAGATCTGCGCCAGGACATGATTCGTGAATGTCACCAGGTAGCGCACACAGGTATTGCACGGACAACTGATTTGCTGCGACAAAGTGCGTACTGGCCAGGTATGAGAGACGATGTTGCACGATATGTATTAGCGTGCCAGCGATGTCAACTAATGAAAGGGGATCGATGCATACGACCGCCATTGCAGTCAATTCCAGTAACAGCAGTTGGTGATTTGTGGTCAGTAGATATTATGGGACCGTTCCCACAGACGACAAGTGGTAACCAGTACCTGCTGGTGATGACTGAGCATGCCACACGATGGGTAAATGCCGTGCCGATGGCGGACCAACGTGCAAGGACGGTGACGGAAGCGGTAATGCGGCACATTGTGGCTGACTATGGGATACCAAAGATAATATTAACCGATCAAGGTCCCTGTTTCGAGAGTGATGAGTTCAAGTCCCGTCTAAAGCAGTTAGGTATCAAGAGAGTACGAACAACGCCGTATCATCCACAGACGAATGGGTTATTGGAAAGGAATAACCGAACGCTAAAGGAATGGCTAGCATCTAAAGGGGGTGACTGGGAGAAAGAATTACCATTAATCTTGCTGGCACATCGTGCCTCGGCACAGGGAACAACCAGGAAGTCACCGTTCCAGCTGATGTACGGCAGACGGCCGAGACTACCAACGCATGATAAAACCTGGCCGCAACAACAGAGATGGAATACAACAAGATTGAGAACAGAGCGGAGACAAGCAATCAGGAATGTGAGAGAGAAACAAATATCAGACATGGAGAAGTCAGAACAGGAGAGAAAGAACTGGAGACCGTTTGAAGTGGGAGACCAAGTGAAGTGTAGAGAACGGAAATGTACCACAGGAAGAGGGCCAGGGTCAGGTAAGCTGATCCCGAAGTGGGAGGGACCGTACGTAGTAACCGAGAGGCGCGGCGCAGTGTATACGATCCAGAAAGGAAACAAACAGAAACGCGTGAATGCCAGTGAACTCCAAAGGTGGTTCCAAGTGCGCCAAGAGGGCGAGCCACAAACACTGATAAAGAAGACGGCTGTACGGAGATCAGAAAGGCTGAGAGAGCGACTTGTTAAAGGGGGGACGAGTGTGGTGTGTGCTACTTATACGAACGATATAAGTAGTATAAGAATGGACGTGAAAGAAGATGTCTTACGGTCAGAAGAGGAAAACGGAAAGCAAATAGAGCAAAAGCAAGAAAGATTTAGAGCACCGACAGGAAGTAAAGGAAGCAACAGCAGGAATGGAGGAAGGCTGGAGCGTTGGAAGTCAGGACTCAAAGATGGTGTGCAAATGGAGTGTTCAATGTAATGTTATCGTTTTTAATTGACTAAGAGTGTAAATTTGCCAAATACAATCTATCGAGCCTGCCTCAGTCTTCTCAGTAGTAGTAATAGTAGTAGTAGTAGTAGTAGTAGTAGTAGTAGTAGTAGTAGTAGTAGTAGTAGTAGTAGTAGTAGTAGTAGTAGTTTTAGTGGTATTAGTAGTACTAGCACTCATATTAGTAGTTGTAATATTGGTAGTAGTATTAGTAGTAGTTGTTGTTGTTTTTATCAGTAGTTTTAGGTGTAGAAGTAATAGTAATAGTAGAAGTATTGATTGTAGTAGTAGTAGTGATTGTCGTAGTAGTAGTAGTATTAGTATTAGAAGTAGTACCAGTAGTAGTAGTTTTAGTATTAGTAGTAGTGGTAATAATAATAATATAAGTAATAGAAGTATATTGGTGGTAGTAGTAGTTTAGTAGTAGTTGTAATGGTATTACTAGCAGTAGACGTAGTAGTAATATTAGTCGTAATAGTAGTAATATTAGTCGTAATAGTAGTAATATTAGTAGTTGTTTGAGTAGTAGTAGTAGTAGTCGTGGTTTTAGTAGTAGTATTATCAGTAGCAGCAGTAGTAGAAGTATTAGTAGTAGTGCTATTAGTAATAGTAGTAGCAATAGTAGTAGTATTAGTAGCAGTTGTGGTAGTAATGGTAGTAGCAATAGTACTAGTAGTGGTAGTAGTAGTAGTAGTAGTAGTAGTAGTACTAGTATTAGTAGTAGTAGTACTAGTAGTAGTAGTAGCCGTATTAGTAGTAGTAGTATTAGTAGTAGTGGTATCATTAGGAGTAGTAGTAATGATAGTGGTAGTAGTATTGATATTAGTAGTAGTAGTAGTAGTAGTTGTAGTAGTAGTTCTGGTAGTAGTAGTAGTAGTAGTACTTGTGGTATTAGTAGTCGTAGAGTAGAAGTAATAGTAATAGTAGTAGTATTGATAGTAGTAGTAGCAGTGGTTGTGGTAGTAGTAGAAGTAGTATTAGTAGTAGTAGTAGTACTAGTAGTATTAGTTTTAGTATTATTAGTAGTGGTATTAATAGTAGTATTAGTGATAGAAATATTATTGGTGGTAGTAGTAGTAGTAGTAGTAGTAGTAGTAGTAGTAGTAGCAGTGATACTAGTTGTGTTAGTAGTAATAGTAGTGATATTAGTAGCAGTAGACCTAGTAGTAATATTGGTCGTAGTAGTAGTAGTAGTTGTGGTAGTAGTAGTAGTAGTAGTAGTAGTAGTGGTAGTTGTAGTGGTAGTAGTAGTAGCAGTATTAGTAGTAGTAGTAGTAGTAGCGGCAGTAGTAATATTATTAGTAGTAGTAGTAGTAGTAGTAGTAGTAGTGGTATTAATAGTAGTAGTAATAGTAGTATTAGTAGTAGTATTGTTATTATTAGTAGTAGTAGTAGTTGTGGTAGTATTGGAAGTAGCAGTAGTGGTAGTTTTGTTAGTAATAGTATCAGTAGTAGCAGTACTAGTAGTAGTAGTAGTAGTAGTAATAGTAGTCGTCGTCGTATTAGTAATAGTAGTATTATTATTATTAGTAGTAGTAGTAGTATTAATAGTAGTAGTGGTATGAGTAGTACTAGCAGTCATAGTAGTAGTAGTAGCAGTACTGGTAGTAGTAGTAGCATTGGTAGTTGTAGTATTACCAGTTGTAGAGTAGAAGTAATATTAATAGTACAAGTATTGATAGTAGCATTAGTAGTAGTGGTGGTGGTAGTAGTAGTAGTAGTACTAGTCCTAGTGGTAGTACTAGTAGTAGTAGTTTTAGTATACGTAGTAGTGGTATTAATAGTAGTAATAGTAATAGTAGTAGTATTGGTAGTAGTATTAGTAGTAGTGGTAGTAGTAGTAGTAGTAGTAATAGTATTATTATTATTATTAGTAGTAGTAGTAATAGTAGTAGTAGTGGTAGTAGTAGTAGTAGTATTAGTAGTAGTAGTAGTAGTAATAGTAGTAGTGGTAGTAGTAATAGTAGTAGTGGTAGTAGTAGCAGTAGTATGAGTATTAGTAGTAGTTGTAGTAGTAATAGTAGCAGTAGTAGGAGTAATTGCGTTAGTAGTAGTAGTGATAGCAGAAGTATTAATAGTAGTAGTCGTATTAGTAGTAGTAGTAGTAGTAGTAGTAGTAGTATTAGTATTTGTACTAGTAGTAGTATTAGTAGTAGTAGAAGTAGTAGTAAGAGTATTAGTATTGATTTTAATAGTAGTAGTAGTAGTTGTGGTAGTAGTAGTAGTACTAGCACTAGTAGTATTAGTAATAGTACTAATAGTAGTAGTATCATTATTAGTATTCGTGGTATTTGTAGTAGTAGCAGTAATAGTAGTAGAAGTAGTAGTATTCGTATTAGTACTAGTAGTAGTAGTTGTATTTGTACTAGTAGTAGTAGTTGTACTACTTTTAGTTGTAGTAGTTGCAGATGTATTAGTAGTGGTAGTAGTAGTAATAGTAGTACTTGTGCTAGTAGTATTATTATTAGTAGTAGTAATAGTGGTTGTGGTAGTAGTAGTAGTACTAGCCCCAACACTAGTACTACTAGTAGTACTAGTACTAGTAGTAGTATAAGTATTAGTATTAGTGGTAATAGTAGCAGTAGCTGTAGTAGTATTAGTAGAAATAGTAATAGTAGAAGTAGTTGTAGTAGTAGTAGCAGTAGTAGTAGTGGAAGTAGTAGTAGTAGTAGTATTAGCAGTAGTAGTAATAGTAGTAGTAGAATTAGTAGTATTTTAATTAACGGTGATAGAATTAGTATTAGTAATAATATTAGTAGTAGTAGTATTAGTGGTAGTGTTAGTAGTATTTGTGGTAGTATTGGTAGTAGCACTAGTATTTGTTGTGGTTGTAATAGTAGTAGTAGTAGCAGTACT